GCAGCAATCTAGCAAGAAGGAAGGAACTCTAGGAGCGCCTGGGTGGCTCAGTCGTTAAACGTCTGCCTTTGGCTCAGGTCATGATCCCAGGTTCCTGGGATCGAGCCCCGCACCCGGCTCCCTGCTCCGCGGAAAGTCTGCTTCTCCCTCTCCCACTCCCCCTGCTTGTGTTCCCTCTCTCGCTGCGTCTCTGTCAAATAAGTAAATAAGATCTTTAAAAAAAGGGTGGCTCAGTTGGTTAAGCGACTGCCTTCGGCTCAGGTCATGATCCTGGAGTCCCCGAATCGAGTCCCGCATCGGGCTCCCTGCTCAGCAGGGAGTCTGTTTCTCCCTCTGACCCTCCCCCCTCTCATGCTATCTCTCATTCTCTCTCTCAAATAAATAAAATCTTTAAAAAAAATTAAAAAATTTAAAAAATTTAAAAAAAAGAAGAAGAAAGGAACTCTGAAGAGTTGTACAAAATGGAAGGAGGGTGGGACAAGGAAGTATTAGCAAAAGAAAAGAAAACATTGTTTCAGGCAAGGTCACCTTTCCTGAAGGGGAAGGGCAGGGTGGTCTTATACAGATTACCTCACCTTCCTTTGGGGGTGGGGGAATGGAGAAGGCCCATGTGACAGATTACCTCATTGGTGCAGATCAGAAAATTCCTGACTGACTGGTTAAGAATACATTTCTGGGGAAGGTTGCAATTAGGGTAAATATCAATCCCCAGTTTGTTGATGTGGCCTAGTATAAATGACTCCATTTTGGGCTTGTGGTTTTCTTTTTGACAAATGTATATTTATAAACCCCTTGAAGAGAATGAAGAAAATTTAGATTTGATTCAATTGTCATCTACTGAAAATACATGGGATTTTATAAAATATTCATATTATAAAAATTTCAAATATATATATAGAAAAAAGAAAAAAAACAAAACAAAAATTTCAAATATATACAAAAGAGAAGGAATAATGAAACTTCATGACCTATCACCTCTCACTGCTCCTCCTATCTGCTCCTCTCCCAACTTTGTTCCTCCTGGAATATTTTGAAGCAAATTCTTTTATCTTATTGGCTCACCAGTACATACTTCATGTACTGAATTTTTGAAATTTTAGTTTCATTCAAAGAAAGAGGAGAAATTTGTAGCTGATAGTTTGAGAACATACTCTGTCCCCTTAAGAGTTTTCCGGGGCACCTGGGTGGCTCAGTCGTTGGGCGTCTGCCTTCGGCTCAGGTCATGATCCCAGGGTCCTGGGATCGAGCCCCACATCGGGCTCCCTGCTCTGCGGGAAGCCTGCTTCTCCCTCTCCCACTCCCTTTGCTTGTGTCCCTGCTCTTGCTGTCTTTCTCTCTGTCAAATAAATAAATAAAATAAAATAAAAAGTTTTCCATAGCCTTTAGGAATTTTTCCTAATTTTCTATCTTCCTTTCCTTCATAAATTGCTCTTTAACAGTTATTGAATTCAATTATTTAAATTCAAGTAGGAGTTTTTATGCTGAATTGTGAGTTCTCAACTAATAAACTGTCCTCAGGTAAAATTAAATTCTTGAATTTTACTCCCAGATCAACAAAAATTTACAGGTCACATACTTGAATGTTAAATAAGGGCCTAGATGATCATTTGTCAATGAGATTAATTCACTTATTTCCAGGATATCCCATAATTCAATATTATTCTAAAGTGAATTATTATGTTTTCACTCTTATGTAAATAATCCTATATTCTGACGATTCTATTTAATATGCATTAATTTTTTAAATTTTTTTTAAAGATTTTATTTATTTATTTGAGAGAGAGAGAATGAGAGATAGAGAGCACGAGAGGGAAGAGGGTCAGAAGGAGAAGCAGACTGCCTGCTGAGCAGGGAGCCCGACGCGGGACTCGATCCCGGGACTCCAGGGTCATGACCTGAGCCAAAGGCAGTCGCTTAACCAACTGAGCCACCCAGGCGCCCCAGAAGTGTTTATTTTTATCAACAAAATTGAGAGGGCCCTTTTGAAAATTTGTTTGAAGACCCAGATTTGAAGTTTAGATTCAGGGGCGCCTGGGTGGCTCAGTCAGTTAAGCAGCAGCCTTCAGCTCAGGTCATGATCCCAGGGTCTTAGGATTGAGTCTCATATCAGGCTCCCTCTGCTTCTGCCTGCCACTCCCCCTGCTTGTGCTCTCTCTCTCTCTCTCTCTTTCAAATACATAAATAAAATCTTTAAAAAAAAAAAAGTTTAGGGCGCCTGGGTGGCTCAGTTGGTTAAGCGACTGCCTTCGGCTCAGGTCATGATCCTGGAGTCCCAGGACCGAGTCCCACATCGGGCTCCCTGCTCGGTGGGGAGTCTGCTTCTCCCTCTGACCCTCCCCCCTCTCATGTGCTCTCTCTCTCTCTCTCTCTCATTCTCACTCTCTCAAATAAATAAAATCTTTAAAAAAAAAAGTTTAGATTCAGCTTTGTTTTGTTTGCTGATGTTAAGAAAATTATCAAATCAGAGACATCTAGGTGGCTCAGTCGGTTAAGCGTATGCCTTCAGCTCGGGTCACGATCCCAAGCTCCTGGGATCCAGTCCCACATCAGGCTCCCCACCGAGCCAAGGCCCCCCCCCCCCGCTTCTCCCCCTGCCTGCCGCGCCCCCTGCTTGTGCCCTGCCCCCGACAAATAAATAAATAAAATAAATTTAAAAAAAAAGAAAATTATCAAATCATTAAAATTTTTTTAAACTTATCTATTTTAGAGAGAGAGAGAGAGAGTGGAGGGGAGGGGCAGAGGGAGAGTCCTTTTTTTTTTTTTAAGACTTTATTTACCTATATGACAGAGAAAGAGAGAGAGCACAAGCAGGGGGAATAGCAAAGGGAGAGGGAGAAGCAGGCCCCCTGCTGAGCAGAGAGCCCGATGTAGGGCTTGATCCCAGGACCCCGGGATCACAACCTGAGCCAAAGGCAGATGCTCAACGGACTGAGCCACCCAGGTGCCCCGAGGGAGAGGTTAAGCAGACTGCACTGAGGGCAAAACCCAACAAGGGGCCCGATTTCATGACCCTGAGAGCACCACCAGAACCAAAAACAAGAGTCAGATGCCTAACTGACTGCACCACCCAGGCACTCCAAATCATTAAATTTTTTATATCATGGATGAATCTGGGTTTCACTGGTGAATTTCAAGCAGTCTGTAACCCCCCTAGGTGTATTAAAAGGGGTACAAGAATAGTGAATCCTTCCGAAGTACTGAATCCAATCTCCAGGCCTTCACTCAGGGTTTGAAACTTTTACCAGGAGCACCTTTCTGTCTCCTCTCTACCAATTCAGTTCTTATCCATCCTTAAAAATGCCATTCAAAAGTTTCGTTTTGGGGGCACTTGGGTGGCTCAGTCGTTAAGCATCTGCCTTCAGCTCAGGTCATGATCCCGGAGTCCTGGGATTGAGCCCCGCATCAGGCTCCCCACTCGGCGGGAAGCCTGCTTCTCCCTCTCCCACTCACCCTGCTTGTGTTCCCTCTCTTGCTGTCCCTCTCTCTGTCAAATAAACAAATAAAATCTTGAGAAAAAAAGTTTCATTTTGTGATGTTGTGATTTATCATTAGAGATGTATATTTGGTCTTCATCCCTTTTTCTGACACATAGCTCCCCAAACCCTGGGAATTTCCTAAGTGATGAGAGCAATAAAGATGTCTTCTCTTCTGTTAATGAGGTGACTTTTGGAAAGCACCAAAGGGTGGGGGGCAGGTTGCCAGGAGAACCAACCTTGTGATTACAGGGTTGGAACTCTTCCCCCCACCCCACCTCTGTGGAGGGGAGAGGGGCTGGAGAGTGAGTGGATGGCCAATGATACAACCAATCATGCCTAATAAAGCCTCCATAAAAACCCAAAAAAGATGGGGTTCAGAGAACTTCCACATTGGTGAAAACATGGAGATGTTAGGAAAGCGGCATACCCAGAGAGGGCATGGAAGCTCCACGCCCTTTCCCCTTTCCCCACACCTTGCCCTAGGCATATCTTCCATCTGGCTGTTCCTGAGTTACAGCATTTTACAATAAACCAGTAATCTAGTGAGCAACATGTTTCCCTGGGCTCTGGAACCTCTGATCTATAGCCGGTCCATCAGAAGCACAGCTGATAACTGCAGCCCGCAACTGGGGTCTGAAGAGGGTGGGAGGCAGTCTTGCAGGACTGAGCCTTTAATCTGTGGAATCTGATGCTATCTCAAGGCAGATAGTGTCAGCACTGGGTTGAACCGTAGGACAGCTGGTGCCCCAGAATCGCTGGTTGGTGTGGGGGAAACCCCCCATTCCACGTTGGAATTGGAGGCAGAACTCCTATCTCTCCATCATGAAACCTTCCAAGATCTTTGAGACCAGCAATAATTTCCCCACTTCCCTGAGGCACTTTGGTGTAGACCACACAAGTTAGTATTTCTATACTGTCTATATTGTCTACCTATATTATGAGGACAAAGAAGCCCTTTTCAGCATTTCCAAAGATTTACATAGTGCTACCTGATTCCCAAAATTATTGATTAATTAGGATATAAGAAAGGGTCTTAGGAGTCTGCAGGAAAAGAAACGAGCACTAGAGTGTCTATCCAAGCACTAGAGTGTCTCCAAATTCATACTGAAACAATTACTTATTATGTATGCAATTTGAAGATATTGGTATAAAAATAGGTTTTTATCAGTTATTCCTAAGACCACTTGTTTTTGGGGTACCTGGGTGGCTCAGTCGGTTAAGCATCTGACTCTAGATTTCAGCTCAGGTCATGATCTCAGGGTTGTGAGACAGCGCCATATTGGGCTCTGCGCTGAGCCTGAAGCCTACTTAAGATTTTCTCCCTCTCCCTCTCTCTCTCTCTAAAAATAAATAAATAAATAAAATATTAAAAAAAAAAAAGAATGAGGGGCGCCTGGGTGGCTCAGTTGTTAGGCATCTGCCTTCGGCTCGGGTCCTGATCCTAGGGTCCTGGGATAGAGCCCCGTGTCGGGCTTCCTGCTCAGCGGGCAGTCTGCTTCTCCCTCTCCCTCTGCCCCTGCTTGTGTTTCCTCTCTTGCTGTGTCTCTCTCTGTCAAATAAATAAAATCTTTAAAAAATAAATTAATTAATTAATTAAAATAAAAAAAAGAATGTACCTCGGGGCGCCTGGGTGGCTCAGATAGTTAAGTATCTGCCTTCGGTTCAGGTCATGATCTCCAGGTCCTGAAATGGAGCCCCACGGCGCAGGCTCCCTGCTCAGCGGGGAGTCTGCTTCTCCCTCTCCCTCTGCCTCTCCCCCTGCTTGTGCTCTCTCTCTCTCCCTCTCAAATGAATAAATTATTTTTTAAAAAATGTATCTTAAAAAAAAAGACCATTCGTTTGCACATACTTTTAGAATTTTATTTTTTCTAATTCATATGGTGGGCCTATGTTTTAGCCCAATTTACTAAACAACAAAGTGTAGGGGAGATTGAGTGTTCTTGCTTTTATGTGGTAGGTGTAAACCCAGGGCAGTGAGAGGGAGAAGCAGGGAAGAATGGGAAGTAACGCACAGGTAGGCTGTATGGGAAAGCTGTGCCACAAGGTAGTCAGCCAATGAAAGGGAACAATGGGGTTCAGGGCGGGTCACCCCAAAATATCCCACTTTGACATATTGATTATTTTGAACTAAAGTTACCTAAGAAACAGCTGGTACAAGAAGGCCCTTTTGTCCCCCTGAAAGCAGGAAATAAATTCCCCATGTGAAGGCTACCTTCCCTGCACCTGGAGGGTAGAAAGCATCCTTATCACCACAGATAGGGAATTCGGGGTTAAGATGGCCACATAAACAAACTTGGTTATTTCTTCATTTATTTGCTACCCCAAGCCCAAAACCTTTTGTCAGTTCTTCACAAATAATTGTTTCTTTGTTTAAAAGGTATAAAGGCTGCCTGTTTTGGTCACTTCAGGGAGGCTCATATTTTTATCAGTTCCCTTATGTTTGAAATTAGTTTTCTGTTTATCTGTCTTATGTCAATTATTTTTTTTAAGATTTTTTATTTATTTATTTGACAGAGAGAGACACAGTGAGAGAGGGAACACAAGCAGGGGGAGTGGGAGAGGGAGAAGCAGGCTTCCTGTGGAGCAGGGAGCCCAACACGGGGCTCCATCCCAGGACCCTGGGATCATGACCTGAGCCGAAGGCAGATGCCTAACGACTGGGCCACCCAGGTGCCCCTCAATTTAATTAGACCAACCAAAGAACCTAGAGGGGACACTGCAAGTTCTGATGCATGCTCCAGGCTGTCTGGGCAAGGAATTTGGGGGTCCCAGGAAGCCAGAGCATGTTCCAGAAGGGGGGGCTGTCCCAAGAAAACCACAAAAGAGCATGTCTTTTGTAGGTAGTTGAGGGCAGTAGACTGGATCCGCTCGATTTAGGCCTGGAGGCCTTCCCAAGTGTTTCATGTCAGCCATGGTGGCACTGTTCGTTATCTGCAGATGATATACTGGCATTTGGTGTGAGTGGCTAGGAGAGATTAAAGGCTTTGTTTGTTATGCAGCGATTTTTTTGTTTTGTTATTCTATTATGTAAATCTAGCCAAGGAATTGATTATTGACATACAACAGTTTATACTGCAGGGTTTATTTTTAGCAGAGAATTGCTGAAGCAGAATGGTGTGAAGAGTTAGGAACTAGATGATGAGAGATTACTAGGTGATAATTATAGCTTCACTTTAAATTGTGTGTTGCAAAATACCTGCTTTGTTTCTCTTGTGGATGAGGAGGTAGGGAGGATTTGAGGATTTAGCCAGTCTCTCAACCTAATTTCTCAGGGAGAGTTCTTGGAAATCATTCATTTTTCTTGCATGAAATGATATCATACACTATTATTTTTTTTTAAAGAGGTGTTTGGGATTTTTATTTTATTTTACTTTTTTAAAGATTTATTTATTTGACAGAGAGAGACACAGCGAGAGAGGGAACACAAGCAGATGGAGTGGGAGAGGGAGAAACAGGCCTCCCATTGAGCAGGGAGCCCGATGTGGGGCTCGATCCCAGGACCCTGGGATCATGACCTGAGCCAAAGGCAGATGCTTAACAACTGAGCCACCCAGGCGCCCCTACACTATTATTTTTTAAGTGAACTGTACACCCAACATGGGGCTCAAACTCACCATCCCGAGATCAAGAGTCTCATGCTCTACCAACTGAGGCAGCCAGGCGCCCCGATATCATACACTATTTTGATTACAATTTATGCCATTTTGTTCTTTAATCTGAGCAATTTACTTATTTTTTTAAAAGATTTTATTTATTTATTTGACAGAGAGAAAGAGAGACAGTGTGAGAGGGAACACAAGCAGGGCGAGTGGGAGAGAGAGAAGCAGGCTTGTGGCCGAGCAGGGAGCCCGATGCAGGGCTCGATCCCAGGACCCGAATCATGACCTGAGCCGAAGGCAGTCGCTTAACCAACTGAGCCACCCAGGTGCCCCTAATCTGAGCAATTTATTGTATCTTGTGAGAGGGTAGTTGCTTATTTTATACCCCTTAACTCACACATCTAATTAAACGAACACAACAATTAGCATATAAATCTCACACCACTTTGGAAAGAAAAAAAGACCTTTACTGAAAGCCAATTCTGAGTCTTAAGAAATGAATTGCCCATAAATTGAAAGACTCAAAGGAGGAAAGATTTGAAAGCACAAAAACAAGCCCATACAATTTATTTGAGGTCGCCAGAAGAGAAAGACCTGGTACAGGTGTCCCACATCAGCCTGTATGGTGAGCTATATGGACTCCTTATGGAGAATTTTCACTACAAAACTGTCAATAAAAGAAGCAATTCAATATTATACCTTCCATTTTTTATGGCATCTTACTACAAATATACTTGGAAGGTTATGGCCTTTATTTCAGAACTTAAAGCTGCTATGGGATGGCAGTTGCCTTCATCCTGCTCAGAGGCCCAGGGCAGCTAAGGCTATTACTGCTTCTACTGTCCGTGTGGAAGGGCGGTGAAGAGAGATGAGAGTGCGTGGCTTGCCGAGTGAGAAGTTCATCTCATACTATCTCTGTTTCTGCTCAGACAGTGTTCTCTCCCAGTCACTTCTATTCACCATATGACCGTAGGCAAATTACTTAGCGTCTCTGACCCATAGTGTCCTACTCTCTAAAATGGAGATAATTGACCTACCTATGGCCAATAAAAGGATTCACTGAAACAATTTGCACACACTTTTGGCAATTAGTGGGCTCTTTTTTTTTTTAAGATTTTATTCATTTATTTGAGAGAGAGAGCGAGCAAGAGAGAGGACCAGGGGGAGGGACAGAGCAAGAGGGAGAAGCAGACTCCCCATTGAGTGGGGAGCCTGATGTGGGGTCCTGATCCAGGGACTCCATGACCTGAGCTGAAGTCAGACACTTAATTGAGCTACCCAGGCGCCCCACTCACTAGTGGGCTCTTTACGTGTAAGTTTCCAGCTACCTCCTATCTTTAAATATAGGTGGAAAGGAGGAGCCACACTGTTGCTACCTTGTTATCTTTATTGCCTAGAAATTCAAGATCACTGGGGGCGCCTGGGTGGCTCAGATGGTTAAGCATCTGCCTTCGGCTCAGGTCATGATCCTAGAGTCCTGGGATCGAGTCCCGCATTGGGCTCCCTGCTCCTTGGGAGCCTGCTTCTCCCTCTGCCTCTCTCTCTCTCTCTCTGTCTCTCATAAATAAATAAATAATAAAAAAATCTTAAAAAAAAAAAGAAAGAAATTCAAGATCACAGCACAGGAAACAGCACAAAATCTAGTGTCGAAATTGACAGAGAGCCAAGGATGGGGGAAATGACTGTACTGTTCTTACCTGAGACTTATTTATATCTAGTGAAGCAAAGTTCTCAAAGGAATAAGCAAAAAAATTTTTTTTTAATTTTAGATATCTCTTTTTAATTTTTTTTTAATTACTTAGGAGTTTGACTTTATGAACACTTTTTAGAAACAATCTGCTCCACACTTTAAGGGATACTTTAATGACACCCTTGACTTGGCTGACACTATCATGTAAAAAAATGTATTGGCTAGAATGTGATGTTCTTGGCAACTAAAAATAGCCTGCTGTCTGTCCTTTCCATTGCTATGCTGAAAGACTCCTTTCAGTTCTCAAAGGTGTGTGGTCACTAAAACACCAACAAAACTGAAATGTTTGGGCCTGAGGACTTTAGCTTGAGGACTTCAGAACACATTCTTCTTACAGCTGAGATGGTGCCTTGTCCATCAGGGCACTACAAATATTAATAAGTATAGAAATAAGCTTTCCTTGGGCGCCTGGGTGGCTCAGTTGGTTGAGCAACTGCCTTCGACTCGGGTCATGATCCTGGAGTCCCTGGATTGAGTCCCGCATCGGGCCCCCTGCTTGGTGGGAAGTCTGCTTCTCCCTCTGACTCTCCCCCCTCTCATGTGCTCTCTCTCTCATTCTCTCTCTCTCAAATAAATAAATAAAATCTTAAAAAAAAAAAAGAAAGAAGCTTTCCTTTATCAAACAGCATACTATTCAAAACTTATGGTAAGACTAAAATAAGTTTTTCAAATTTGTCTACATAGAAAAATCTCAACATCAGTGATCCATATAATGTCTGCGTATATTTGAGGCTCAACTAATTACGAATATAGGAGAATCACCTAAAATTTGGTTTTCTTTCCTGTAACAGAAACCATAAACATGGCCACCTTATTTCATATCTGTGAATACTATGATTATTTCAAATTTTAAAAATCTATCAGGTCGGGGCGCCTGGGTGGTTCAGTCGTTAAGTGTCTGCCTTCAGCTCAGGTCATGATCGATCAGATCAGGTCCTGGGATCGAGCCCCATATCCAGTTCCCTGCTCAGTGGAGAGCCTGCTTCTCCCTCTCCCTCTGCCTGTCGCTCTGCCTACTTGTGCTCTCTCTCTCTCTGTTGAATAAATAAATAAAACCTTTATAAAAAATCTATTAGGTAATAATTATGGGGTAAATGAGTAAAGCTTTATTGATAAAGATAAGGCCTCATTTGAGTTTTGTTTCCTTTCCAAAAAGCACTTCATCTGATGTAGTTCCAGATTTTTCTTATTCGTTTTTGCTACCTCAATATGGTATACCAATAATTAGAAGGATAAAATATGGTATTAATTAATGAGGGAATTGGACTACATAATTTCTAATATTTCTTCCAGGTCTAATATTCTAAGATTTATTATAATAAAATTTCATAAATATAAAGAAAGTTAGAGGTGAATAATATCATCATAGAAACAATGAACTGAAATACCTGAGGTGTAGAATCCTTTCTGAAATCCAATCAGGCAATGCTTTCTTGATGTGTTGAATATATCTGGAACTTCATTATTATGAAGTGAATTATAGTAACTCCAAAGAACTGAAGTCCCTAGAACATAAGCAACACACTCACAGTTACGTGTCAATCCAGTGCACGTTTGTTAAAATTATCAAGTATCAAGAGAAAAACCTTTAAATAACCTTATTAGATCTTATTTGCCTATCTTAGTTTGGACTACTACAACAAATACTACAGAGTAGGTGACTTAAACAACAGACATTCATTTCTTATGGTTCTGGAGGCTAGGAAGTCCAAGATCCAGGTACAGCAGATCTGATGTCTGTTGAGAGCCCTCTTCCTGGTTTGCGGATGGCAGCAATATTGCCATATCCTCACCTGGCAGAGAAATAGAGATCATCTCTCTTGTGTCAATATTGCTCCTACAAAGTGTTTAAGCTCTGGGGCGCCTGGGTGGCTCAGTTGTTAGGCATCTGCCTTCGGCTCGGGTCGTGATCCTGGGGTCCTGGGATCAAGCCCCGCATCAGGCTCCCTGCTCAGCAGAAAGCCTGCTTCTCCCTCTCCCGCTCCCCTTGCTTGTACTCCCTCTCTCTCTGTCAAATAAATCTTAAAAAAAAAAAAAAGTGTTTAAGCTCTAACCAACTGAATATCATAAAATCTAGCTAGCATACTAAGAGAAAATATAAAGGAGGATGAAAATGTAGTAATTGTTACTATTCTCAAATGTCATTGATCTTCCAGTTGGCTTCACATTTCATCTTCACATTTTCTTTGCTGTGATGAATAAGATTGATTTTTTTAAATATTTTATTAATTATTTGACAGAGAAAGACACAGTGAGAGAGGGAACACAAGCAGGGGGAGTGGGAGAGGGAGAAGCAGGCTTCTGGCCGAGCAGGGAGCCCAATGTGGGGCTCCATCCCAGGACCCTGGGATCATGACCTGAGCCAAAGGCAGACGCTTAATGACTGAGACACCCAGGCGCCCCAAGACTGATCTTTAACATCCAGGAGTCCTACAACCAAGGTTGGTGGCTCAAAGACAGCTATCTGAGGTAAAACTAGTCTATTCACTGGCTTCCCAAATCAGATCATATTCTGTCTCTTTCCCCTCACTGCTACCCCTTTCAAATATTTTGAACAGACATGGAAAGCCTGAAGGTAGCTATACTGATAGGTCAGACTTGGAGACTGCCTGCCATTTCAGGAACAGGTGTGTTAATGTGTCAGCTACATGAAAGAGGAAAATGGAGGAGATGTGCTAAGAGAAAGGAAGCAGAAACACCAGTTGGCCCCAGTGAGACAGAAAAAGGAAGAATATAGATTCCTTGGTTCCTGATAGCTTCAGTTTACAGCCTTATTTCCCATGAAGTCTGACTATGTTTGATTTTGTGAGATCTTTGCTATCACATGTCCCCACCCCTTTTATTTGAATTAATTAGATTTCTGTTCCTTACTTCCAAAAAGAGAAGAAGCTAAGACAACTGGGGATATACCCCCAGTGACTGCCTGTAGGGCTGGCTTGACCTGTGGTAGAGAGTTAAACAGGAAGCAGCACTTGAAAGGACTTCATGGACCATCTGAGGTCTTGGTTTACAATGTTTTATACTGCTAGTTTACCAGGAACACTGATATGAGTGCCTGGCCTGGAATTAACCTACTCAAAGTGCTTCCTGAAGGCAGACTGGGAGACCCAGGGAGACTGGGGAAGCAAGGAGCACCAACCAGCTGGAGGCGAGCTTACCCACCCCCATCAGCTACACCATGTTACAATATTCTACCTTTCAGGAAATAGCAGTATTCGCTAAAGGAGAGTCAGTTTTCTACTTCTTAGAGATTTAACTCTGATTATTGACAGTTTTAACTTTAGCAGTTACACCAATATGTGACCAGTTTGTCTTCATTACTTATTATAAGGTCTAGACTAAGGAATGTGTAATTCCAAAATTGAGAAATCAAGGTCATTTTTTTAGCCAAAAAGAGAAAAAACTCAAAATCATTTCAAATTGGGGAATCAAAATATGTGAAATTCCCCCTCAGATACACAGAATTAAATGTTCTGAACATGTTAGCACATTTTGAGGTGCTTCATGCCAAATGATTTATTAAGCTGTTTTGAACCTTCTCTCCCCCCCAAAAAAACATATTTATTGCTCTATTATTTAATAAGTTTCTGCTTTTCAAATTGTCTTATACCTAATAGAAATAGTTAATGCTTGAGAAATTCAAATTTAAAACAATATTAATGGAGTGATATATAAATTTTATTTCTACAACTTATTAAAACTGCTTTAAATCGGGCACCTGGGTGGCTCAGTTGGTTGAGCGACTGCCTTCGGCTCAGGTCATGATCCTGGAGTCCCAGGATCGAGTCCCACATCGGGCTCCCTGCTCGGCAGGGAGTCTGCTTCTCCCTCTGACCCTCTTCCCTCTCGTACTCTCTATCTCTCATTCTCTCTCTCTCAAATAAATAAATAAAATCTTTAAAAAAAAAACTGCTTTAAATCTAAATTGGTGAAATGTCCCTTAAATCAGATGACAGTAGAAATGTAATTACAACATATAGATAATTAAAATAATAAAAATTGAAGAAATCTGAGATATAAACTAAAAATAATTAATCTGGCTTTTCTAATACATCTAATAGTATTTAGAATAATACAACTACAGCTTTATTTTTTATTTTATTTTTTTTTAAGATTTCATTTATTTATTTGACAGAGAGAGAGCATGAGAGAGCACAAGCAGGGGGAGCGGCAGAGGGAGAGGGAGAAGCAGGCTCCCTAGTGAGCAGGGAGCCTGATGCAGGACTCAATCCCAGGACCCTGAGATCATGACCCAAGCCAAAGGCAGACGCTTAACCGACTGAGCCACCCAGGCTCCCCCAACTACAGCTTTAAAAGACCATGGTAGTATTTGGAAGGAATAGAATTCACCATTGATATTGTAAGCTTCAAGTAAATACACAGAATATGCTGGTCAGCATACTCTGTGAATAAACTACAGGATATAAACAAATCCAGAGATGTATTATCATTAGAAGTTCAACATGGAGTTTGCTTATATCTTGTAAAAAGGAAATGGTGGAAAAAAAGAAGACATTCAGGGTTGTATTTACTTTGTCCCTATAAACTTTATAGTGTATTTCCTATAATGTCCGATTTTGTACTAGGGGTCCTGCTTTGTTCTCTTACATTTACTCCTGAGAACAATCTGAATTGCACTTTGTTTTCTCTTTAAGATTTTTATTAATTTGGGGCGCCTGGGTGGCTCAGTTGGTTAAGCGACTGCCTTTGGCTCAGGTCATAATCCTGGAGTCCTGGGATCGAGTCCTGCATCGGGCTCCCTGCTCAGCAGGGAGTCTGCTTCTCCCTCTGACCCTCTTCCCTCTCGTGCTCTCTCTCTCAGATAAATAAATAAAATCTTTAAAAAAAATTTTATTAATTTATTAGAGAGAGAGAGAGAACAAGTGGGGTGGGGCAGCAGGCAGAGGGAGGGGGAGAAGCAGGCCCCCTACAGAGCAGGGAGCCGATACAGGAATCGATCCCAGGACTCTGGGATCATGACCCGAGCAGAAGGCAGACACTTAACCAACTGAGCCACCCAGGTGCCCCTGCACTTTGTTTTCTACTTTCAGTTTTGTGATTGTCATAATTGTTACAAGGGACCAACCAAAAGCACACATCTGTGATATAAACAGCAGAATAACATTGTTTGATTTTATGTTGCTCAACTGTAAAAATAATTCATTAATGCAGTCTTCACCCCACTTGTGTTTATCATATCTTATGGATTTAAGGTCATTTCTGTTGCATAATTGATGATGCAACTGAAAGCATATTTATTCATCTACTAACTTTTGCAAGGATTATAGGTTATCACCATCTACATCACCCTACATCAATATGATGAAAATAAATACCTATATCCAGAGCCTAAGTAAACTCCTTTTTAAAAAAATTCCATTTTGGGGACGCCTGGAGGCTCAGTTGGTTAAGCCTCTGCCTTGGGCTCAGGTCATGATCCCAGGGTCCTGGGATCGAGTCCTGCATCAGGCTCTCTGCTCTCTAGGGAGCCTGCTTCTCCCTCTCCCTCTGCCACTCCCCCCGCTTGTGCTCTCTCTTTCTGACAAATAAATAAATAAAATCTTAAAAATAAATTAAAAACTTCCATTTTTTCAGATATTTTTCTCCATTTTGTTCTGAGACATAATAATATTAATACCTAAAAGCTGGGTGCCTGGGTGGCTCAGTTGGTTAGGCGACTGCCTTCGGCTCGGGTCATGATCCTGGAGTCCGAGGATCGAGTCCCGCGTCGGGCTTCCTGCTCAGCCGGGGCTCTGCTTCTCCCTCTGACCCTCTTCCCTCTCGTGCTCTCTGTTTCTCATTCTATCAAATAAATAAGTAAAATCTTTAAAAAAAAAATACATAGGGGCGCCTGGGTGGCTCAGTTGGTTAAGCGACTGCCTTCGGCTCGGATCATGATCCTGGAGTCCCAGGATCGAGTCCCACATCGGGCTCCCTGCTCAGCAGGGAGTCTGCTTCTCCCTCTGACCCTCTTCCCTCTTGTGCTCTCTCTCTCTCATTCTCTCTCTCTCAAATAAATAAATAAAATCTTTAAAAAAATAAAAATAAAAAAATACTAACAGCTAAATTTATTTTGAGTTTTTCTATATATCATGTTGTTGTGTTTTTTTAAGATTTTATTTATTGGGGCACCTGGGTGGCTCAGTTGTTAGGCATCTGCCTTCGGCTGGGGTCATGATCCCTGGGTCCTGGGATCGAGCCCCGCATCAGGCTCCCTGCTCCGCGGGGGGCCTGCTTCTCCCTCTCCCACTCCCCACTTGTGTTCCCTCTCTTGCTGTGTCTCTCTCTGTCAAATAAAATAAAATAAAAATCTCAGAGCAGGGAGCCCGATGCGGGGCTAGATCCCAGGACCCGGGGATCATGACCAGAGCTGAAGGCAGACGCTTAACGACTGAGCCATCTAGGCACCCCCCCTATATATCATATTTTAATTAAATTAATCCTTACAAGAAACTTACAAAAACCTTGTAAAAAACCCAAACAGCACCACTTGTAAGAATTCTGA